CAAGCAACAGTATTGTCAGATCGACAGCGACACAGTGGACCGACCGATGAACCCGTGAACCACAACTTGTTCATGTAATATCGTGACGAACTGCAAAGATGGTACTGTGACGGTGAACAGTACACTCTTCCGCATGTCGTACAGATACAAAGACGATTAGACTCGCCAGCCGGGTAGAACCACTGTCCAAAAGAATAAGTGTTTTGATTCCATGTGCATTTGAGGCAACATTCTCCTAGGCTGGCGAGGGTAGGGTTCGTGTCTCCTTCACAACAACTAAAATCATTACACCCGTCGTTGAAAATGTAGCAACCATGCGCTGCAGCAAGGAAACATAGCTCAATGAACAAGAAGAATGTTTTTGAGGGCGACATCATAAACAGACTGACGGAAATTTACTTTCCAGTAAGTTGCAAACTTGCACTGTGTTCTGTATCGTTTGCAGCAATATCCCTTTTCCGCTATTATATATACTTAAAATTCCAGCTGCACAAGTTTCATTTCACTTTTTATAAACTAACCAATCGTCTTGAATCTAAAAGAAGTTACCGGTGACGTATGAAAGCATATCTATGCTTGACTTTTGTGGGCGTGCTCTCAATGCCGTAATTTTTCTTTTGTTGTTCGTTCAAGGTCGTTATGCGAAGACACTAATTTTAAGGATTTTTTGTCTAGATTTTAATTTTTTCTCATATTAAATCCCAAAGGCCTGTAGATCAATTTTCGAAAAAATACCTCCCCCGTTCTGATTTGACTATGAATAAATCAATGTATGTAACAGTTTGGCGTTACTTATTAGAGCAAAAAGTTGATTTCTCTTCAGATTTTTAATTTGCAACAATTACAGTTCATTGTTCATGCTGACAAGTTATTACTAAAATTTATCCATCGCCCCTGAAAAATTTCTTCTTTCTCACCCTTGATATCAAAACTATACAAATGGTCATTCTGCGTATTTTGTTCCCTTGGATGAGAAAAAATGGAACTGTGGTTTCCTATGTACGCATAGTAAGTATTCAAGTTGAGTTTATCATTTACGAACATGTTCCTGCGCCAAGTCAAGGCTACAAAGAATTTGAGGTTCCAAAAATGTCTGTTTGACTTGTAAATTTGCAATCCATAAACATAAGGTTCTGACAGGTTTAGCGTTTACTTTTGTTTTCCAATAGATGTAATGTCACCTGTAAAGTGAAGTGAACCATGTGCACTCTATCAACAACACATTAAATACTAATTTCCTCTCTTAAACACACAAGGAATACATTTTCTATTTATTTCCTCCTGCTTGATGCCTCGATTGGTTGGAGTCATTGCATTCTACGACTTTTATCGCTGTATTAATATTTAAAGATATTGTCACCCTTCGCCCAAAACTCCCTATTTACTGCGCTACATACATTTTGGGGTAATAAATAAATCTTCAGTGCTCAGTAACTAAATTAATAAACATTTACACATATGCCATCTTACGGGTAACGTCATTATTGCAATTTGGGGGATTAAAAACTGAAAATCTGTTTCTCAAATTTCTCTTTTACCTGAGCACCCATGGCACGATTACTGTTAAATGACACTATTTAATACTCCAAAACCCTGTCAGCGATTTTCCTTAAAAATCTTAGTTAAGATTTTATCGTTGATAATTCAATGATAATTCAAAATAATGCTTTTGTTTAATGAACATCTGTAATAAGGGTCTTATAACTCCGCAACAATAAAATTTAAACCAATATGACGGCACGGGATTGTAGTCTATACTCTCCTGGACAACTCTGCCAATTTTCGTGATAAAATCTTTTTCAGGGATGAAGTTAAGCCCCATTCCGATTGCTATCTCCCCCCCC